ATTCTTAGGATAACGTATCCACCCAATACCGTAAACTGCCATGGCAATAGATCCAATTCCTATAGATGTGATGACGAGGATTTTCCAAGATGTGAAATGTTCCGTCAGAGACAGCAGAGACTGATAGAAGGTGCAGTGAAGTCTGCCAGTTGTGTGGTGTTGCCAGTTTAACCAGACTCCATCCCAGTACAATGGAAGTGTTGTTGTGGTGTTCTCCACCGTTCCTCTTACTTTCCACATTGGTAGAAATCTTGTAAGGATAGTGCAAAACCAGCCTGCACTAGCCAGCCCGAAACTAGCAAATTCAATTTTTATATCCATGTCCGTGTTTATTCAGGATCGTGGAGCAGAACTATTCCTCATATTACGGAAACCAGCTGCACTGCATTCCAGCTGTGGGCGGAGAGACACTGTGGTTGAAACGTGGGGGAATCTTTTGTGTTTTTGCCATGGTTTCATAACAAATCCCTCTATTTCCTCACACGATGAGACATGAATAGGGAGCTATGGAGATTGTATGCTAAAACACATCAATACTGACACATCAAAGGTTTGGTTATCTAGTGGTGTCCATGAAAAAGTCTGTGGTGTTCGGTAGCAAACAAAACAGGAGAAATGGCATAGAGGGAGTACAGGAATGGTGTAAAATAGGTCAGTTGGAACACTTCCAATTACTCAATAAGAAACAAGTTACAAACCACCTCTATCACTTCACCTGATCAGCTTCTATCTTTCTGAGTACTGTGAATTTGGACATATTTCTTTTGTCACATACTGTTTTTAGCCTGGAAGTATGCAATTTCGGATAGAGCCAACAGATTCTAAAGGGGAAAAACTCATTTTGAGGTAAGAAAGTAGCTTTTTTATTTAATTTATTTTTATGACGACAATGCCTGCTTTAAAACTCATCAAAGTTTGTGTCTGTGTGGATACTTTTGTCTTCATGTGAACGTATGTCGGATGTATCCTTTGCGGCCTTAAATCACCCACAATCCTTTTCAAATTCTAAGAGGTACACAGCATCAGTAGGATGCAGACTTCTGTTTGAGAAGCACCCAACATGCACACACATGCACAGCATTCTCTCTCTTCTCTCCTCTCACTTTACACATATATCTAAGTCAAGAAGCTTGAGTGCCATCTAGTGGTGCATTAATGTAATGACATCACATTTTTCAATGCAAATTGCTAGTGCTATGTTTTGGCTGTTGGCTGTAAAGTGAGCTTGTTCATGGCTACAAGACTCTGGGTTAGTTGTAACGTCAATTAAACGTGTTACAACCTACCCCAAGCAATTTTGTGTTGTATTTAAATGTTTTCTTTGAATTTTAGTATGCCTACTGTAGGTCTTGGAAGAGAAAGAGTAATGTAAACGACTAGGGAGAGTCTTTCATATTTACCATGTACAGATTCTAAAAAAAAAAAAAAAAAATTTGGAAGAGAAGGAATCACGGGAGCTTCCACAGCGGAAAGAAGGTCTTCACTGACGAACAAGAGAAATAACTTATAAGGGCAGCTGAAGCGTTTTATGGACTGTGTCCATGGGAGGTAAGTAGGATAAAAACAGTAGGATTAGGGATATGTTTGGTGAAAGTAAGAAAATGATCAAATTATACAAGTGCCCATGTAAAACATGCAGGTGAAAATGATTGAACATTGAAAGTATTGAAAGTTTTGTGTTCAAATTCAATTTTATGGCCAATAATAATGACTGACCAATAGGAATCTCGCAAGAGAGGCAATCTACTTCGAGACGAGTGAAACTAAAACAAGCCAATACACATTGGCGTGCAATCATTTGCATCGGCTGTGCGACCTCGTTAGACGATAAACGAGCAGCTGCTGGGATTGCAGTTAATTCTTTTTTGCTTCGGAGCCAACACTTCGATGCTGTTTAAATTAAATTAATCTCTGCATCAGAGGGAGCGTCAGAAGTCTCAATGGACGACGGCTTGGACCCGCTGCCTAGATTCGGGTGTGCCAGCGCGGTGCCCGAGTCGTACCCAGAGATCAGAGACCCAGAGATGGTCATGCTTTCCTGGGCCGCCAACAGGATCCGGCTTGTGTAGAACCCTCACCCACCGTGTCCCGAGCCCTCGAGGCTTGATGGTTGGTATCTCAGGGTGGCGCGCGCTGATTCTCAGTGCCCTTGTTCCCGGAGGTGCATGAGGAGCTCACCGGGACGTGGACGGCACCTTTCACTACAAGAAACCGTCCTCCTCCCTCACCACCCTTGATGGGGCAGCTGAGGGATACACGCGTGTCCCGCCAGTGGAACGGACCGTTGCAATGCAGCTGTGCCCTAACTCCACTTGCCGTGGAGAACCGTGTCTTCCTTCCCAGGCCTGTAGGTACTCGTCGGATATAGGCTTGCAAGGCCTGTGGGGAAGCTGCCTCTTCCATGCATGCTATGGTGTTGCTGCTGGTCTAACAGGCCAAGGCACTGAAAGTCCTGCACGAGGGTGGTCATCATCCACAAGTTCTCCAGGAACTTTGCATCGCGCCAGACCTCGTGCTTTGTGCGACGAAGGTTACCGCGCGGTCAGTGGGTCGTGCGATGTCCATGCTATTGGTCCATCTCTGGCTGTGTCTGTTTCTAATATAACTGTAAAGCTGCTTTGAAACAATCTGTACTGTTAAAAGTGCTTTATAAATTATAAATTATGTTGAAAAGTCAGTGTGTTTAAAAAGCTGTCATAATCCATAATCACCCTGGTGGATATCATGATGTTACAGTACATCTCACCCTAGGATATGTTACAACCCAGACTATGGGGTGAATTGAAACATTTCACTTCTCGTGTTTGAAACTAAACCATGCTTTTTCTGTTTATGCAAGATGCAAAGAACAGCTACATTTAATAGCAGACAAAAATGTCAAAAATGTTACAACCATCCCCAGTCACCCTATTATTCAAATTTGAACTTTTACTTCTCTCCTTCACTCCCTCTGCACCACCAATACCTTTTTTAAGCATCAACTGATCCGCTAGGGACCTCTAGTGGTTCAGTTCCAGCAAAGTCCATTATTTTAGACTGAAAACAATTATTCTTAAGTCTTGAAAGATGTCTTTGTTTGGCGCACTAAAAGACAGATTCCAGTAGGATGGGGGAAAAAATTGAGTGGTCAAATAGAAGAACTTGTTGGTTAGATAGCATTCCTGCAATTGTTTCAGAAGCAGGGTAAACAAACTGTGGCCCTCCGGAGCAGGATCGGACAGTCCTATTTTATTTTAATGTGTCCTTGTTACCTATGTGTTGGATGCATTAATAGTTAAAACTTAAAATTATGCATTATTACAAGTAACTAACCCTAACACTAAAGTAAGTACATGTTGTTTATAATCTTACTTACACTGCAACAACATTTAAATATATTGTGATCACACAATTTAAGATATACACCAGGGTTCTTCAACTCCAGTCCTGGAGGGCCAGTGTCCTGTAGACTTTAGTACCAATCCCATGATTTTACCCAGCCTTCTGTAATTTGCCAGTAATTCTGAACATCTGGATTAGTTTGTTCATACACCGGCCCTCAGGTCTGAAGTTGAGAGCCCTAAACGCAATCACTCAAGAGTTTAGACATCTTGACTGATGATTAAATTATGTTGTTACATTATGATTAAATCTTCAACATTCCCTTCTGGTGCAAATTGACAAAGTTTACTGGTAAAATAAGTGGCACCAAAAGCCAATTTTATAAACTCGAATCTATGAGGCTGGATAAACAATTAAAGTTAAAATATATAAATAAATAAGTCTCTTCTACTGAGGCTGCACTTATTTTATAAAAAACAGTATAACAAAAAAACTTTCATATTGTGAAATATTATTCAAATTTAAAATAACTGTTTTCTAGTTTAATTTATTTGAAAATGTAGCTTATTCCTGTGAAATCTGTTTCTCTCCTTCCCCCATTAGGAATAATAATAGTTGTGTTTCGAAGGGATATTGTCTCCAGTTCTGCTATTATATCATTTTGGAATGGCTGTGTTGATGGTCTGTTGTGAAGTCAAATTTTAAATCTTCCTCATTAATATTTAATTACAGAGAAAATATGCACGCCTTCACAATTGTACTCCTTAACTCTCACCAAACTACCGTATACACCACCAGAGAGCACTTCATAACTGCTGTAATATAAAAATTAAAATGTGCTTTAACATTTCAATGTATTGGTATAGTTATATATATATATATATACTTGACTTGACTTAAATTGAAAAAAATAAACATTTTAGAATAATATGTACAATTCATTGTGCTCTCTCTCTCTCTCTCTCTCTCTCTCTCTCTCTCTCTCTCTCTCTCTCTGTGTGTGTGTGTGTGTGTTTAGGGTTAGGTTTAGTGGTTGTCATAGGATTAGTGGCTCTGTTTAAGTAGTGGTTATATTTGAATTTGAATTAAGGTCTTTATTGTCACTGTACATGCACAATGAAACTCTGGAGCAGAAACCTCCAGATGCTAATACAACACTACACAACACAACACAATGCAACACAATACAATAAAAGCATTATGTGCAATAAAACAGAAAGTGATAAATGCTAAGATAGTGTAGTGTCAAATTGCAGTGTGATAAATAGAACATTACTCGATAAAATATTGCAGTGAAAACTTTGTTGAGATACACTTTATTTCAATAGAATAATTCATAGGATATTGTTCATTAAATGACTCCATTGTTATTGTTCATTAATTATTCAAAAATGGAGCATGACAGAAAATGTACAGCCCAATGGGTCAGTGTGACGGAGAGGGATTATTTTTTGCACAACTTTATTATTTGTTTCAGTCCCTACAATATATATATTTAAGAGACAGGGATAGATAAAAACAAAGAGAAAAAGAGTGTGATGCTGACATGGTTTTAAAGCTGTTGTTTTTCATTTTTTTTTTGCCTTCACAACATCTTAAAATGCACTTTTTTACAAATCATACCCCCTAAATGAAAATCCCTAAATGAAAATGTTTTTTTTTTTTGTTAGGGAGGGAGGAGGAGGGGGGGGGGGGGGGGGGGGGTGGGTGGCATCATAAAGGAATTATGCTTAGGGCACCAAAATGGCTAGCAGCGGCACTGTATATATATATATATATATAATTAACCACTGTAGTCTTTTTTCTCACTCTCTCTTTTCCCACACACTCGCAAAGAAACACACATTTGTTTGTGATTTCTATTGTTTTACTCCTATTCTGGATTTTTACTGTCCTCGTAATGTACAGTACAGTAGGTAAAACCTGAACACACATACTCACAAAATATTCAAACACACATGCTGAAATGTGTAATCTAATGTTCTGAATGTAACAGAAGAACAAACATATGAAAATCAAAAAAGGTTAAGAGAGAGAGAGAGATGTTTAATCACTTAAAATTTCACTTTTCTTAATATGCAATTCTTCAGGATCTGATGAAGTGTTTCGTTTAGCACTTGTACATTATGTCCGCTTTACTCAGAGGCATGTGCTGTATATCAGACGTAGTTCTTTATGGCGTAGCCACTGTGGGTGTCAGATTTTGTTAAGGTGTATCTAGGGGAATAGTTGTCCCGCTCTGGTGGGCAGCTGGTGCAGAGAACGGCTCCCCCAACGAACAGAAGGCCCGCTGTCACCCAGCCCACATACAGGGCTGCTCCCATCTCTCTCTTAAGTGCTTCATGCACTATGGGATTATGGAAGTCTCTTATAATGGAGTCGGCTGTCCAGGACACAGGCACCACAGTAGTCAGTCCAGAAAGCATAAAGGTAATCCCAGATACCACCACAATCCGCGCTTTGGCGCGTGGGTTACTTAGGCAGTTGGTGCAATCAGCCCCAACCAGAAAAATTAGGAAAGCCAAGCAGGCCAAAGCCATGGTGGTCACCATTAGCCCACGAGACGCCTGAAGGGAAGGATCCAAATCCAGCAGGGCATCGTACAGTTTACACTGCATCTGGCCAATGCGCTCGTACACACACGTCATCCACAATCCTTCCCAGAAGACCTGTGCCACCACAATGTTTGTGCCGATGAAGGCGGTTACCTTCCACATGGGCAGAGCGCAGATGATGATGGTTCCTGCAAAGCCAATCATTGAAAGAGTGATTCCCAAGACCTGCAGAGCCATGGATGGGGCTGGGGATGACAAAAAACAGACAGAGACAACATTTAATTTCTGTCTAATTTCTGTAACATACATTTGACACATACATACATTTGTAACATGAATGATTTTCTCTCACTAGGGGGCAGTAGATTTCAAAATACAGGTGAGCACTGAAATGAGTTTGCTCAACAAGACAGTTGTGTTTGGAGTTTGAATGAAACCGATACTAACCAAGAAATATATTTCTCAACAGAGAGCTGCATGGTTTAGTGGTGGTTGTCATACTTTTAGCTCTGTCTTTGACATCACTTGTTTACATTTCTAAGAATGTAGTGCACGTGTTTGGACATAAAAGAATATGTGGCGGTTTTTGCGTAAGAGAAAACCTGGCATTTCCCTGTAGTGGTTATCTGAAATAACACCGTGACTCTGTGAAAAGCTCTCATTGTTAGGAAACGCAGGATGTTTGTGTATGTAAGCCTGAGCCATGTAATATGAGCCCTGTAAGAAAGGTTATGGAGAACTGGTTTTCTATTTAACTTCTGTACTCAGTTTATATTAACTTGAATTCAAATGTGTCAAAAAGACATTTTTAATTTATAATTCTTTGTTCAGTGTATCTCAGAAAATGAAGAAACACACAATGCAGGTGAAATACAAAAAAAAATCATAATTAAGAAAGTACAGTAACCTACACCCACGTTAAAAGTGACTATAAACAAATGTATTAGAACCTGTATTTTTACAGTTTGTCAAGCAGTACAAAAACAATAGCTATGGATCAACTTGTTCTTAGAGATCACGCTTATGTTCGATTGACTAGTGGGTGTTCCTGAACAGCAGGTTTTCCTAGTGTTGTGTAAAGTATGTTCCTCTGGCATGCACACAAAAAAAAATGATAACAAAAGCCAAGAACAAGTGAGCCAACATGTTTACTTCATATAAAACTTCACATAATTAGTAAAAAACAAGTGATTTTGCACAAGAGAATTCCAGTTAAAAGTGCTCCAAGAATTTCTCCTACACTAATTTGTTGTGTCAAAATACACTACAAAATATACAACTATATCTTTCTAATGAAACTGTGTGTAGGTCTTGGGAGGAGATGGAGACCATGGGACTGGCACTGTGTGGCCGGGAAGAGCATCATGACCACTAGATGGCTTTACCATCATTACAGGATTATATTTGACAGATGCTGAGTGGTCGAATGAAGCTCTCATCTCTCAAGAGGTTGTAGAGGTCAGTTATTATAATGACAGAGGTCCAGGATAGGTGATAAGACAGTGATAAGACAAAGAAGCCCAGAGATCATCAGAACCACCACAGCAGCAATGGATGCTTTTACTTTTCCTTGTTCCTTGTTCAAGTTGGTACATTTCCCTGAGACAAGTGTAACAGGAATCCTAGCGACACCCACCAAGATGGAAAAGACCATCAGGACACTATCATCCTGCAGATCAGGTCTCAGTGCCAGCCTGGTGTCATAGACTTTACACTGCATCTGTCTGGTACTTAGCTGATTATTTACAAAGCACTTTTCCACCAAGGCAGAGCTGGTGCTGGGTCAGAGACAGAGCCTAGTTTCAAATCAGTTCTTTGTTTTTTGAACACGAAAGCACCAGCTCCACCACCAAAGCACCTGTGGAAAGGCAAACCGGTTCTTTGAAAGCTCATCAGTCGAATCAACTCTGAACCAGCACTAGCTCTAGCTCTGAACCAGCACCTGGTTCTTGTTGGTCGAAAAGGGGTATGAATGGTTTAGCTCCCCAGTACTTCCCCAGTACTTGAGCGAGCTCTAAACGCATTATAGTCCGTCACGTCTAAATCAATCTCGGGCCGTATCCAGACCAGATGAAGGACCGCATGATCTAGTCAACCGGATTTGGGCCGTATCCAGACCAGTTGAAGGACCTGTGCCTAGACATGACCACAACGCATGATCTAGTCAGCCGGATCTGGGCCGTATCCAGACCAGATGAAGGACCGCATAATCTAGTCAGCCGGATCTGGGCCGTATCCAGACCAGATGAAGGACCTGCGCCTAGACATGACAACAACGCGTGATCTAGTCAGCCGGATCTGGGCCGTGTCCAGACCAGATGAAGGACCTCTATCTAGACATGGCCACAACGCATGATGTAGTCAGTCGGATCTGGGCCGTATCCAGACCAGATGAAGGACCTGCGCCTAGACATGACCACAATGCATGATCTAGTCAGCCGGATCTGGGGCGTATCCAGACCAGATGAAGGACCTCTGCCTAGACACGACCACAACGCATGATGTAGTCAGTCGGATCTGGGCCATATCCAGACCAGATGAAGGACCGCATGATCTAGTCAGCCGGATCTGGGCCGTATCCAGACTAGTTGAAGGACCTGTGCCTAGACATGACCACAACGCATGATCTAGTCAGCCGGATCTGGGCCGTATCCAGACCAGATGAAGGACCTCTGCCTAGACACGACCACAACGCATGATGTAGTCAGTCGGATCTGGGCCGTATCCAGACCAGATGAAGGACCTGCGCCTAGACACGACCACAATGCATGATGTAGTCAGCCGGATCTGGGCCGTATCCAGACCAGATGAAGGACCTGCGCCTAGACACGACCACAATGCACGATGTAGTCAGCCAGATCTGGACCGTATCCAGACCAGATGAAGGACCTGCACCTAGACAGGACCACAATGCATGATCTAGTCAGCCGGATCTGGGCCGTATCCAGACCAGATGAAGGACCTGTGCCTAGACACGACCACAATGCATGATGTAGTCAGCCGGATCTGGGCCGTATCCAGACCAGATGAAGGACCTGTGTCTAGACATGACCACAACGCATGATGTAGTCAGCCGGATCTGGGCCGTATCCAGACCAGATGAAGGACCTGCGCCTAGACACGACCACAATGCATGATGTAGTCAGCCGGATCTGGGCCGTATCCAGACCAGATGAAGGACCTGCGCCTAGACACGACCACAATGCACGATGTAGTCAGCCAGATCTGGACCGTATCCAGACCAGATGAAGGACCTGCACCTAGACAGGACCACAATGCATGATCTAGTCAGCCGGATCTGGGCCGTATCCAGACCAGATGAAGGACCTGTGCCTAGACACAACCACAACGCATTATATAGTCAACTGTCTCTGGGCTGTGTCCAAATCAAATGAAGGACCTGTGATTGTGTCAACTAGACTCTAATTTTATTTTTGGCAGTCAATCCAATCTTACAAAAAATAACATGCTAAAGTGTTAAAGTAACTCTATTATTGCAATTAAAATAAATGTACTGTTTGAACGACAATGGCAAAATTCTGAGAGTAACATACTATTTTCAAATAAAACAGTATTACACCATAGAAAACAATGCATTCTGGAAAATTATTTGTCATTTTCAAGAAAGTAGCCTCAAAGTGTCCCAAATCACTCCTTATACTCTCATTCACTATTCCCTACATTAATTCACTAATATAGTCCATAGTTTATTCAGACACTGATAAACAGCTGACAAGCAGAATCACTGAAGGACATAGACAAGAACAGAAAAAAAGAGAAGAATAAGCAGAAACATGAGAACTACACTGACTTCCAGCCACACTGAGTGTGAAACCAGATTACAAACCAGTTTATTCCATACATGTACATAAGTTCTTGTTGAGATTTAACAATGGTTTAGATGTTTTATTGAAAATAATAAAAGTTTTTAGTCACCATCTTGACCCTTGACTTTTTAACATTTTTATTTTTTTATGGCTGCTGCAACTGTGTTTAAAAAGCACTGTTGTCATGGCAATACAAAGCCAAGAGGAATTTGATCAAGTGTTTCTGGCTGTGTTGCCATAATCAATCATCATGACCTCGTATGATCCCATTCTGTGACTTTTAATTTTATATTTATGGGTGATAGTAGCTATGTGATTCTACAGCTTTCATTCAGTAATCAGTTATAAAACTGAGTAAACTATGCGGCTTAATGTTTTTTTTTTATGCCATTTTTTGTCTAAATTATTTTGGGGGGGTTTAGTGGAAGTAATGAAACATGTAAGCATTTTTTTAATTATTTTTTTTTTTTAAATGCAACACTTTTAATATAGGATTGAACATGATGGTTATGTCATCATCAATGCATTACAATCAGCATTCACTGATCATCATCACAAAAACACGTTTAACCATAAATGTGGTTTGCAATAACATTTAAAGCAGCACAAGAAAAAAATAGTTTTAAAATGGCAAGGTTCAAGAGCCCAAATACTGATCACCATAATGGTAATTCAAACCAAATAGTTTCAATAAAAGATCAATATCTAAACCTCTGATAATTCTCAATGAGAGATTCTGAAGATGTATAACAGAAATAAAGTCAAACTGGTTAGTAATAAGTGTAAAAATGTGCAATGGCTGGAAGTCAGTTGCAGTTATTGTCTCTTTTTTCTGCTCTTCTTCCTCTTTCCTTCATTGATTCTTCTTACATATTCACTTAATTATCTCACTGCAACACTGCTTCAGTGTTACTTTTTCTCTTTGTAGTGTGAACACTACAGTATGTTCCTGTGGGGTTGAAAGGGTTAAAGGTGCAAATTAAAAGGTTACATCAACGAAATGTATTTTAACAGTAATAAACTGTTAAAACAGGTTTGGGCCGAATTCCGAGCTCGGAGTTCCTTTGCCCCTATAATCTTTAAGTTAATAAGGTTAAGCATATTTGGCTTGCTGTCTGCAGTGCAGCTAGGGGGCTACTTATGGTTGAATGATGATTATGACAGCAAGATACTTAAATTATGTTAGTGGAGTTGGGGAGGTGGAGGAATACCAGAACAACTGATTCCAGAGCAAGGGGAGTAATGCTAATATGCTAATATGCTCCGGCAGTTAATTGAAAGATTAGATAAGTTCACTCCTCCCAAAATTATGTTGTGAACTTCACTAATACACTTCAGGGGGAAAAGGAGAACACAGGAGATACAACCACCTAAATACTGATAACACGGAACAATGAGCAAACCAAAACAGGAAGTACACAGACGAGGTAAACGACAGAGGTAAACAAGCTACACGTCACAGTATAAATGCAAGCAACACAAGTGCCCAAGCAGCCAATAGTGAATTCATTGCATTTGTCCTGCACTTTGTACCACACAGTTCATCTATAAGCCCTCCCAGATGGTCTGCTCAGTCACAATATTGGCTCTGATTACTGCTGTCACCTTCCACATATAAAGGCACAAATCATAACACTCCCCGAGCCCGTTCTCATCCTTTGGCGTTATATGGCATTATACGTGACTGGCATCCTTTAGCGTCAATATGAGATGCAGACCCTACCCCAGACCTAAACCTACCCACAACAGTGCGTGTTATATTGACACTAAAGGGTGCCATCCCAGATAGCAAACTGACATTGAATCAACGTGGAAATATGACATCGAAACAACGTTGATCTGACATTGTTTTGCTCATCGAATTAACGTTGAACCAACGTCAGGCGCGTCATTCTTTCAAAACTAACGGAAAATCAACTTGAAATCAACGCGTTGTTTCAACGTTATGAAAGCAAACCAATTTTCGATTTTCATTTAGCTTTGAAGAATGCTGCGTCTGAGGTTGGTTCAACGTTAATTCGATGAGCAAAATCAACGTTGTTTCAATGTCATGAGAGACGTCGTTTCCACGTTGATTCAATGTCAGTTTGCTATCTGGGATGTGCGTAGTATTTCAACAAAATGTCATATGGCGTCACCTATATGACGCCAAAGGATGAGAACATGTTGGCTCTCCAGACACCAATAATGGCTAGAGACATGGCTGGGATATATCAAAAATTAAACGCCATTTTTATTTATTTATTTATTTATTCTGTTTGTTTGGCTTTGTTTTCTTGGAAGTGTTTGCTCCTCTGTTAATTGTAGAAATGACTAACCTATTTTAAGTTTTTCTCAGAAGGGAGGAGTCCAAGTCAGGTGGACCTGAAACCTGGTTAAACCTGACCAGATTCCACAGCAGGGAATGTGGATACAGCTAGTTTCTCTGAGATGCGCATCAATGAGCAATTATTGATTGATGACTTGGTTCAAATACAAATGAACCAAGTCATCAACCGAAAAACCTTTGGATGTCAACCAGAAGCCTTTATATGGATTTCACGAGTTCACACTTACATGAAATCTAAAGTTGTATTTATGCGTGTTTGGCTTGCTGTTCTGGGGAGGGACATCCGAGTGTGAGGTGATGGGGTGGAGGGATGCTAACACTTGTCGTGAGACAGGTGAGGAAAAGCTTTATTCATATCGGCTTCCTCTTGAGCTGATTGGTTGATTACCTGAACGTGCTTCTCCCAAACTTTGTTACATAAAAAAAAAAATCATTTAGTGATCTAGTGCTTAGCACTACTGGCTAATATTACAAAATGATCATATTATCACATATTATAATGATCCTATTAAAGTTATTGCCATAAAATAATAATGTTTCAAAACACAATTCTTCCAACAGCTTATTAATACCCCTTGCTGATTTGCTTGTCCAAATATCTGGTGCACAACAAAGTGATAGAATATCATATAATATCTCATTTATTTTTCATTGAGTTCATGTTATGTAAGAAACAAATGAAGTATAAACAGACTGAACATACCTAATAGTTGTTTATTATTTCTTACAGTAAATATTTTTTTAACGAAAAAACAAAATTGCACAAACTGTTTTACAGGAGATCTTTGCCAACATCTGTTGAGTTTTTCAGCAGTTTAGTTACCATGACAGAAGCAAGCATGATCTGAAGTTTTCTTTGATGTTAGAATATTCAGTATTGTCAAACTATTATTATGAAATGTTTAATGCAATAAGTTGTTTTACCGAACTGTTTATTTTAATAACAAAACAGTAAGACATATTTAATGATCATTGTGCAAAAAATACTGTATGTAACCCCCTAAAATAAAACTTTTTTAATAAAACCATAGAAATTGTGTTTAACAGTTATATATTTTTTATTTTCTGATTAGTAAAAGTATGACTATTGTCATATTAAAACATAAATTGCAAGAATGGCTTGTTAATGAAAAACAGATCTCTGTTGCTTCCCTGAGTTGGATTCCTCTCATCACATTATACATTCACAATTTTCTCTTTCCGTGATCTGTATAACCACATCACTAAACCTCAGTATGCTAACTATATGTCATATCAGACACTGTCCTTCTACTGTTTCTCCTTGGGAAAAAAAAGTCCATAGGTGGGGATAAAGAGGTTTTACGAGGAGAAAAAGAGTCTTAGTGTGCTTGATCTCTTTCAGACGTAGGCTTTGCTGGTGGCAACGGACCGTGGCTGAGAGTACTTGACACCGTAGTTGTCCTCCTCCTTAGGTGGGCAGGAGCTGCACAGTATACCTCCTCCCAGGATCAGCAGTGCAGCTGCACCAAATCCAATATAGAGAGAAGGTCCCATCTCCCTTCTTTGGGCATCTGTGACCGAGGGGTTGTAGAAATCCCTGATGATGGTGTTAGCTGACCAACAGACGGGGACCAGAACCAGCACTCCAGCGATGATGAAGATTACACCACTAGCAATAGCCACCTTCACCTTTGTGCTTTCACCCTCAACAAAGCTGGTACATTTTCCACCGGCAATTCCCAGGATGATCCCAAAGACGCACACAATGATGGCGATGATCACAAGTGCCCGAGCAGCCTGCAAGTCCTGAGGTAAGGCCAAGAGGGAGTCGTAGATTTTGCACTGCATTTGTCCTGTGCTTTGTACCACACAGTTCATCCACAAGCCTTCCCAGAAAACCTGTGCAGTCACAATATTATAACCAATGAATGCGGTCACCTTCCACATAGGAAGGACACAAATCACAATAGCTCCGATGAAACCAATCATGCCTAGAGAAATGCCCAGGGTTTGTCGGCACGTAGACACCATTTTTCTCTTGTTTGCTTGGCTTTGATGGCTTGAAAGTGTTCGCTCCTCTCTTAATCCAAGAAATTACTTCTGTTCCTAGCCTTCAGGATGTTCCAACCTTTATGATTGTGATCAAAGGGAGGAGTCCAAGTTGAATCAACCTAAAACCAGGTTAAACCTGACCAGATTCCACAGCAGGGAATGTGGGACACAGTTCGTTTCTGTGAGATGCGTATCAATGAGGATGACCTAACCACCACATATATAAACCACAAGCCTTTATAGTGAGTTAGTGATCTAGTGTTTTACACTCACTTTATTTAATAAACAAGGCAGTCAGTTCAATCTCACAAAAACAAAACTAGTGAGGGGTCCCCCTATCACAGGGAAAGAAGGGCCTTCGCACTGTATTACAATCTATAGCCAGGGCAAACTGTACAACTGGGTAAAAGAGGGCTAGGCATCAGTGGTTTTTAACCAGGATGCACACTGATTATAATCAGGCAAACAACACATTGCAGTGTTACGTCTCCATTCGTTTCTTAAGTTGGGGCCGGTTCATGTCAGGCTACAGTGCGTTATTCGTGAAAGCAAACCATTCTGGTGGAACAGCAGAAACATTTAACGGGCAAACATTTAACAACTTTAATAATAAAATAAATCAGTACTAAAATTAAAGTAAAGACGTGCTGTTCTCTCGCGGCCCTCGGCCTCGCCCTGCTCGCCACATACCCCCATTGCCCCCAGGCCGTGGGGTGCTCCCGAGATAGATGAGGCAAGAGAAAAGGATACGGAAGCAAGTGGACCGACAGAGACGAGAGGGGGAGAGAGGAAAGAAGAAAAATCTTGGTCCAGTTTCCAAAACGCACTGCCATCTGGTCCTCCACCAGCTGGGTGATCTTTTCCGTGGTATCTGGCGGTGGCACTGGATAGCCCTCGGGGGGCGGCTCGACACTCCTCCGCCGCCTGGTGGACGGCGACGGCTCCTCCGGGTTCGGGCAGTAGGCAGGAGTCCCCCGTTCCCTGCCCCTCCCCATCATGTTATCAGATATCAAAAAGCCGTTTCCAATTCAGAGTCTTCAATGTCTTGGCTTCCTTGCCACTGTTGCCTTTGACTTTTGGCTTGCTTAATTGGGGATATTTAATATTCAACAATATTATTGATCTGCCTGCATCGACACTATTATATGAGAACTGAACTGGGCTGGACGATGACATCACTGTATATAAATATAAATTAACTAGATGAATAACTTTTTTACAACAGAAATTAACCATCACTAAAGTTACTTAAGTTGGACTATAAAAATTCTTTCTTCTAGATCTGCTGTTCAGCAGAAACAAGCATTTTTGCATTATTTTCCTGTTATCACTGTAAAGCATCTTTGAATCTGTATTAAAAAAAGAAACACTATATAAATAAAGGTGACAAAGGTGACAATTGGCTCAAAGCAGACTTCTTAAATCAGTGCACTCTGAACTCATACGTGATCATACCAGTAATCTTCATTCCGCTGTCACACAGAGCACATTACCTATAATTTACTTTCCTTACTGGTAAATTGCTGGAACCAATTTACCGGTATTTTTGAAAAGGTCCTGTTCAGACATGATCTCTTACTGGTTATTTACCGGTAATTTACCAGTAAAGACTGTTTGTGTAGTCAGCACCAATAGCCTCAAGGGCAAGTGTGCCGACATGTAGTGTCATTATGCTTCTGGCGACCAGAGTTCGAGTCCCGGCTCGGTGACCTTTCTTAATTCCGTCGACTCACCTCACTTCCTGTTTATCCCCTGTTCTACATTTAAATGTATTAATTTTGCATTTTATCCAAAGCAACTATGTCAGAGGTCGCACACCTCTGGAGCAATTAGGGTTTAAGTGTCTTGCTCAGGGACACATTTGTGTCTCACAGTGGATTCGAACCAGGGTCTCTCACACCCAAGGCATGTGTCTTATCCACTGCGCCATCACAACCACCCCATGTTCTATCCTAATAAAAGGCAAAAACCTTTTTTTTAAAGACTCTTTGTGTGAAAGGGGCTAATTACCCTACCAAAATATTGAATATTAGACAAAATCTGTGTCAACCACAGTGATAAATAAATTTGGATATGTTATGGGGCACTATGGAGTCCACTGGCCACACCCAAAACAAATGACCAAAGAATTGGTGAGAGTTGCTAAGCTTCTACAAATTTAGTTTAGTACTAATATTTTGCATTTTCTAAAGGGACCCAAATGCAATTTCGAACTAGGGGGCGCTGTGGAGCCAATGAGGCATGGGTCTCCTAAACTGCAGAATCAAAACAAAAGATGTCATGAGACAAATTTATCTGTTAACTTTCATGATATTTTAGCCGTGGTAAAACAGCTGGGAAAATGTAAAAATGCCACATACCATCCAAGATGGCTGACTTCCTGTTGGGCGGAGTCAGATAAAAACAAGTGAACATTGTCCTATATGATGTCATCAATCACCTTCATTTTGAAACTTCATTTTGATGACAGCTTGTACTCGACCACGCCAAAGTCCAAGTATTACATTACGTTTAAAGTTTTCACAGGTCTAATGTGTCTGCCAAGTTTCATGCATGGCAAAGGCCTCAAAAACGAGCGAATTCTCTAAAGGAGAAAAATATATATATATTAATAATAGTGAAAAAATATGCTAAAAACTATGGGGCTTTAGTGCCTCTGGTTCAGGCCTCTATGCATGTGCCTGGGTCCTTATCGTGTTAAAGTGTTAGCATAGCTCTATTATTGTCATAATAATAATGTTTCAAATGCACTGTTCCAACAACTTATTAGGACCGCTGTACTGGTGCACAAAAAAGTGATAGAAGATATGTACCAAAATTACCCAGGCATGTACCCCTACCAGGAGCTATGTAAAGTGTGATCATATACAGTATCTATTCACCCAATAAAAATAGATTTTTCATGTTCATGTATTGTAAGAAACAATACTTTTTGCTTCAAATGAAGTGGGAACAGACTGAACATGCTGTTTATTGTTTTCTTTCACAGCAAAATGTAGATTTTTTTTACAGCAAAATTGCTCAAACTGTTTTGCATGATCTGATCTGTAATGGTTCGTGAGAATATATTGTCAAAGTATTATTATGAAATAATGTCAATACAGTATCAATAAGTTGTTTTACAGAGCCATTTATTTTAATATTAAAATAATTAGACAAATTTAATGATCAAGACATCTTTGTGCAAAAAAATGCTAATTTATGTAACTAAAACGAACTTGATAAGAAGGTTAACACACATTTTATAAAACCAAAGACATTGTATTTTATTACCAGTTAGATATCTTTAACTTTTTTGATTAATAAAACCATTACTATTGTAATTTTAAACATAAATTGCAAGAATGGCTTGTTTATGAAAAACAGATCTCTGTTGCTTCCCTGTGTTGGATTCCTCTCATCACATTATACATTCACAATTTTCTCTTTCAGTGATCTGTATAAGCACAGCACAAAACAGAATATAAACTATATGTCATATCAGACACTGTCCTTCTACTGTTTCTCCTTGGGAAAAAAAAAAATATCCACAGCTGGGAATAAAGAGGTTTTACAAGGGAAAAAAGAGAGTCTTTGCAAGTAAAAAGTCTTAGTGTGCTTGATCTCTTTCAGACGTAGGCTTTGCTGGTGGCAACGGACCGTGGCTGAGAGTACTTGATGCCATAGTTGTCCTCCTTAGGTGGGCAGGAGCTGCACAGTATACCTCCTCCCAGGATCAGCAGTGCAGCTGCACCAAATCCAATATAGAGAGAAGGTCCCATCTCCCTTCTTTGGGCATCTGTGAGCAAGGGGTTGTAGAAATCCCTGATGATGGTGTTAGCTGACCAACAGACGGGGACCAGAACCAGCACTCCAGCGATGATGAAGATTACACCACTAGCAATAGCCACCTTCACCTTTGTGCTTTCACCCTCGACAAAGCTGGTACATTTTCCACCGGCAATTCCCAGGATGATCCCAAAGATGCACACAATGATGGCGATGATCACAAGTGCCCGAGCAGCCTGCAAGTCCTGAGGTAAGGCCAAGAGGGAGTCGTAGATTTTGCACTGCATTTGTCCTGTGCTTTGTACCACACAGTTCATCCACAAGCCTTCCCAGAAAATCTGTGCAGTCACAATATTAGAACCAATGAATGCGGTCACCTTCCACATAGGAAGGACACAAATCACAATAGCTCCGATGAAACCAATCATGCCTAGAGAAATGCCCAGGGTTTGTCGGCACGTAGACACCATTTTTCTCTTGTTTGCTTGGCTTTGATGGCTTGAAAGTGTTCGCTCCTCTCTTAATCCAAGAAATTACTTCTGTTCCTAGCCTTCAGAATGTTCCAACCTTTATGATTGTGATCAAAGGGAGGAGTCCAAGTTGAATCAACCAAAAACCAGGTTAAACCTGACCAGATTCCACAGCAGGGAATGTGGGACACAGTTCATTTCTGTGAGATGCGTATCAACGAGGATGACCTAACCACCACATATATCAACCACAAGCCTTTATAGTGAGTTAGTGATCTAGTGTTTTACACTCACTTTATTTAATAAACAAGGCAGTCAGTTCAATCTCACAAAAACAAAACCAGTGAGGGGTCCCCCTATCACAGGGAAAGAAGGGCCTTCGCACTGTATTACAATCTATAGCCAGGGCAAACTGTACAACTGGGTAAAAGAGGGCTAGGCATCAGTGCTTTTTAACCAGGATGCACACTGATTATAATCAGGCAAACAACACATTGCAGTGTTACGTCTCCATTCGTTTCTTAAGTTGGGGCCGGTTCATGTCAGGCTACAGTGCGTTATTCGTGAAAGCAAACCATTCTGGTGGAACAGCAGAAACATTTAACCGGCAAATATTTAACAACTTTAATAATAAAATAAATCAGTACTAAAATTAAATTAAATGGTAAATGGACTGCATTTATACAGCGCCTTCATAGACCTAATGGCCACCAAAGCGCTTTACATTTGCCTCACATTCACCCATTCACACACACATTCATACACCGACGGCGGTGTCAGCCATGCAAGGCGCCAGCCAGCTCGTCGGGAGCAGCTGGGGTTAGGTGTCTTGCTCACGGACACCTCGACACTTGGTCAGGTGGAACCGAGGATTGAACCACCAACCTTTCGGTTCGTAGACAACCCACATGAACCACTGAGCCACTGCCGCAAATTAAAGACGCGCTGTTCTCTCGCAGCCCTCGGCCTCGCCCTGCTCGCCACATACCCCTATTGCCCCTCACAGGCCGGGGGGTGCTCCCGAGATAGACGAGGCAAGAGAAAAGGATACGGAAGCAAGTGGACCGACAGAGACGAGAGGGGGAGAGAGGAAAGAAGAAAAAATATCTTGGTCCAGTTTCCAAAACGCACTGCCATCTGGTCCTCCACCAGCTGGGTGATCTTCTCCGTGGTATCTGGCGGTGGCACTGGATAGCCCTCGGGGGGCGGCTCGACACTCCTCCGCCGCCTGGTGGACGGCGACGGGTCCTCCGGGTTCGGGCAGTAGCCAGGAGTCCCCCGTTCACTGCCCCTCCCCATCATGTTATCAGATATCAAAAAGCCGTTTCCAATTTAGAGTCTTCAATGTCTTGGCTTCCTTGCCACTGTTGCCTTTGACTTTTGGCTTGCTTAATTGGGGATATTTAATATTCAACAATATTATTGATCTGCCTGCATCGACACTATTATATGAGAACTGAACTGGGCTGGACCATGACATCACTGTATTATCCAGAGCGTCTAAATATAAATTAACTAGATGAATAACTTTTTTACAACCGAAAATTAACCATCACTGAAGTTACTGAACTTGGACTATGAAAATTCTTTCTTCTAGATCTGCTGTTCAGCAGAAACAAACATTTTTGCATTATTTTCCTGTTATCACTGTAAAGCATCTTTGAATCTGTATTGTAAAAAAAGAAACACTATATAAATAAAGGTGACAAAGGTGACAATTGGCTCAAAGCAGACTTCTTAAATCAGTGCACTCTGAACTCATACGTGATCATACCAGTAATCTTCATTCCGCTGTCAATTCCGCTGGAACCAATTTACCGGTATTTTTGAAAAGATTCTGTTCAGACATGATCTCTTACAGGTTATTTACTGGTAATTTACCAGTAAAGACTGTTTGTGTAGTCGGCACTAATAGCCTCATGGGCAAGTGTGCCGACATGTAGTGTCATTATGCTTCTGGCGACCAGAGTTCGAGTCCCGGCTCGGTGACCTTTCTTAATTCCGTCGACTCACCTCACTTTCCTGTTTATCCCCTGTTCTACATTTACATTTATTAATTTAACAGATGCTTTTATCCAAAGCAACTATGTCAGAAGTCGCACACCTCTGGAGCAATTAGGGGTTAAGTGTCTTGCTCAGGGACACATTTGTGTCTCACAGTGGATTCGAACCAGGGTCTCTCACACCCAAGGCATGTGTCTTATCCACTGCGCCATCACAACCACCCCATGTTCTATCCTAATAAAAGGCAAAAACCTTTTTTTTAAAGACTCTTTGTGTGAAAGGGGCTAATTACCCTACCAAAATATTGAATATTAGACAAAATCTGTGTCAACCACAGTGATAAATAAATTTGGATATGTTATGGGGTACTATGGAGTCCACTGGCCACACCCAAAACAAATGACCAAAGAATTGGTGAGAGTTGCTAAGCTTCTACAAATTTAGTTTAGTACTAATATTTTGCATTTTCTAAAGGGACCCAAATGCAATTTCGAACTAGGGGGCGCTGTGGAGCCAATGAGGCATGGGTCTCCTAAACTGCTGAATCAAAACAAAAGATGTCATGAGACAAATTTATCTGTCAACTTTCATGATATTTTAGCCATGGTAAGACCATCAAAACAGCTGGGAAAATGTAAAAATGCCACATACCATCCAAGATGGCTGACTTCCTGTTGGGCGGAGTCAGATAAAAACAAGTGAACATTGTCCTATATGATGTCATCAATCACCTTCATTTTGAAACTTCATTTTGATGACAGCCTGTACTCAACCACGCCAAAGTCCAAGTATTACGTTTAAAGTTTTCACAGGTCTAATGTGTCTGCAAAGTTTCATGCATGGCAAAGGCCTCAAAAACGAGCAAATTCTCTAAAGGAGAAAAATATATATATATTAATAATAGTGAAAAAATTTGCTTAAAAACTATGGGGCTTTAGTGCCGATCTGGTTCAGGCCTCTATGCCTCTGTGCCTGGGTCCTAATCGTGTTAAAGTGTTAGCATAGCTCTATTATTGCCATAATAATAATGTTTCAAATGCACTGTTCCAACAACTTATTAGGACCGCTGTACTGGTGCACAAAAAAGTGATAGAAGATATGTATCAAAATTACCAAGGCATGTACCCCTACCAAGTGTTATCATATACAGTATCTATTCACCCAATAAAAATAGATTTTTCATGTTCATGTATTGTAAGAAACAATACTTTTTGCTTCAAATGAAGTGGGAACAGACTGAACATGCTGTTTATTGTTTTCTTTCACAGCAAAATGTAGATTTTTTTACAGCAAAAAGTTTTTTTTTTTAAAACTGTTTTGCATGAGATTTTTGCATGAGAGGCCAGCATGATCTGATCTGTAATGGTTCATGAGAATATATTGTCAAAGTATTATTATGAAATAATGTCAATACAGTATCAATAAGTTGTTTTACAGAGCCATTTATTTTAATAACAAAATAATTAGACAAATTTAATGATCAAGACATCTTTGTGCAAAAAAATGCCAATTTATGTAACTAAAACAAACTTGATAAGAAGGTTAACACACATTTTATAAAACCAAAGACATTGTATTTTATTAACAGTTAGATATCTTTAACTTTCTGATTAATAAAACCATTACTATTGTAATTTTAAACATAAATTGCAAGAATGGCTTGTTTATGAAAAACAGATCTCTGTTGCTTCCCTGTGTTGGATTCCTCTCATCACATTATACATTCACAATTTTCTCTTTCAGTGATCTGTATAAGCACAGCACAAAACAGAATATAAACTATATGTCATATCAGACACTGTCCTTCTACTGTTTCTCCTTGGGAAAAAAAAATATCCACAGCTGGGAATAAAGAGGTTTTACAAGGGAAAAAAGAGAGTCTTTGCAAGTAAAAAGTCTTAGTGTGCTTGATCTCTTTCAGACGTAGGCTTTGCTGGTGGCAACGGAACGTGGCTGAGAGTACTTGATGCCATAGTTGTCCTCCTTAGGTGGGCAGGAGCTGCACAGTATACCTCCTCCCAGGATCAGCAGTGCAGCTGCACCAAATCCAATATAGAGAGAAGGTCCCATCTCCCTTCTTTGGGCATCTGTGAGCAAGGGGTTGTAGAAATCCCTGATGATGGTGTTAGCTGACCAACAGACGGGGACCAGAACCAGCACTCCAGCGATGATGAAGATTACACCACTAGCAATGGCCACCTTCACCTTTGTGCTTTCACCCTCGACAAAGCTGGTACATTTTCCACCGGCAATTCCCATGATGATCCCAAAGACGCACACAATGATGGCGATGATCACAAGTGCCCGAGCAGCCTGCAAGTCCTGAGGTAAGGCCAAGAGGGAGTCGTAGATTTTGCACTGCATTTGTCCTGTGCTTTGTACCACACAGTTCATCCACAAGCCTTCCCAGATGGTCTGTGCAGTCACAATATTGGCTCCAATGAATGCGGTCACCTTCCACATAGGAAGGGCACAAATCACAATAGCTCCGATGAAACCAATAATTCCTAGGGACATGCCCAGTATCTGTCGGCACATAGACACCATTTTTCTCTTGTTTGCTTGGCTTCGTTGGCTTGAAAATGTTCGCTTCTCTCTTTATCGTAGAAATGAGTTCTGGTCCTCCCTTCAGAGTTTTAAGATTTTCTCAGACGAAGGGGAGGAGTCCAAGTTGGATGGACCTGAAACCAGGTTAAGGTAAATTTTCCAGCCTGACCAGATTCCTCAGAAGGGAATGTTGATACTGTGGCCAGTTTCGATGAGATGCACATCGGCAAGGAACTGAACAATGGCCATGTCATGAATACAAATGAGGCAAGTCATCAACAGAAAGGATCGGGTTGGTATTAACCGCAAGCGTTGTTGAGACTCAAAACAACAAAATATGAAGCTAAAAATACAGCTAAGTGTTTTGATGGCCGGATGAAGTCAATTCTTTTTGACATTACACTTTGGTTAGCTTTCTTTTCTTAATACTGTTAAAAACTAAAGTCAAGTACAGTCACATTTATTTAGCACTTTTTTGTACAGATTGTTTCAAAGTAGCTTTACAGAGATAACGGGAAAATAATGCAAAAAAAAAAAAAGTTTGTTTCCAGAAGAAAATAGTGTCATAGTCCAGCTTAAGTTCAGTGATGTTTCATTTTTGTTTTAAAAAAAGTTATTAATTTAGTTCATTTACTGTATATATACAGTTCAGTTCTAGTATAATAGTGTCCATGCGGGCAGATCAATAATATTGTTGAATAATAAATTAAATGTTACATTTAATGTCTCCAACTAAGCAAGCCAAGACAATGGCAACAAAGGTAAAAGACAACCAAAACTCCATCAGGCGGCAGAATGGAGAAAAACCAGCTCAGTCTGGGTAACTAAACCAATGCTAATCTGTTCACATGCAATTAGTTTCAAAAATTAAAATTAACAAAAAATTAAAGAAGTATTTTAATTCTATTTAATCATTTTAACTTCAAAAAAAGGTCTATTGCTCAAGTTTTAATTAATCAACTAACAAAGGATAAATGTAGAAATGACAATATAAAACCATTTGTAATGTTTCAGAAATACATTTATTGACAATATAATTTATTAAAATCCAAGGCAATATTCATCACAAAAAACATCAGAAAATGCTTGATTTACAGAAAGTGACCAACACAGCAGTACTCACAAATATTACCCACTGTGTTGAAACATACATGTATTCATATGCCAATTAGCATTACAAAATCCCTGGACTGGAATGAGTGGAGGAAGTGGACAAACAGGTTTTTCCAAATCATCATTCAAAGGCTTGCAGAGAATAAGACATTGCAAACAGGTCGCTAATTAGATTTGTGGTTGGATACATTTTATTCAATCAAACACTGAAAGTAAGTACAGATTGCGTTCAAAAATGTTGAGGAACACAGTTTTAGAAGATGAGAGTCAAAGAAATGTTCCATTAGCTAAAGATATTGTCCCGGAGCAGTTGAGTAACCTGGGGGTGGATAAGGTTTGTTAGGAAGGTAATTTCCACTATATGCTACACTAGGTGCATATGTGTTAGCAGGCATATAAGCTCCAGGAGGCGCATACATAGGTCCTTGGTAGGGGTACATGCCTGGGTAATTTGGATACATATCTTCACTCGGTGGACAGGAAGTACACAGAATGATCCCTCCAAATAGAAGACATGCTGAGGCGCCCCAGCCAATGTATATGGATGCCCCAAGCTCCCTCTTTTGTGTCTCGATTGTGAGAACACTCTGGAAATCTGAGATGGTTACAGCTGACGACCAGCAGACCGGAATAAGACAGGCGATTCCGGCTACAATGCAGAGGATGCCACCCAGGATCAGCACTTTAGCCATGGAGGACTCTTTCTTCAGACAGCTACTGCACTGGCCACCCACAAACGTCAGTAACATCCCAATGGCGCCGATCACTATCGCGATGATGGTCAGCGCACGTGCCGCTTGCAAGTCCTGGGTCAGTCGCATTATTGAGTCTTGGATTTTACACTGCATCTGTCCTGTGCTCTGCATTACACAGTTCATCCACAAGCCGTCCCACACAATCTGGCCGGAGACGATGTTGGCACCAATGTACGAAGTGACGCGCCATAATGGGATGCCACAACAGACACATATACCAACAAAACCAATGAAGCACAGGGTCTGGCCAGAAACCTCTTTAGCAATCCTTCCCATGGTGTTGTCACAATCAAAATCAGCTGTTGGTCTGGTCGTAATCCATGAGTGTGTGAGAAACAAGCAGGAAATGATGGCCTGTTTGACACAGATCCTCATTTGGGAGGAGTCTTGCAGAGCTGTTTGTTTTAAACCCGCTGAACAAGATTCTTAAAATATGCAGCCATTCCGTGAAGATCTGCGTTTGGTACAATACATGCTTTCCAACCGGTTTCAGTCTTTTCAGTCTCTCTTGAGTCAAAGATAGATTTGAAGATTTGAAAACAAAGATTTGAAGATTCTCTCAGATGTGTAGAAATTAATTACAAATGAACAAATAGTGTTTAACACAAGATTTGAAATTAAATTAATATTTGAAAGAGGTGAAATGCTGGAAAAACTGTATATTATTACAGTATAGAGGCGCGTGACGTCACCGTCAGCCGGAGTGCCTGCAGTTCCTCACAGTGAGTGGCAAAAAGACTGAGTGGCTGTATTTGTTTTCAGCGTGAATGCCGCGAAAAACAAACACAGCACATATAAAGTGGGAAAGAGCTTTGCGATTGACTTTACAACTAGATTTGACAAAAAAAATCGGAGGTATATTTTTACAGACTGCTATAGAAAGAGGAGCGAATGGATCACTGCAATTCACAGAAACAACTGGACTCCAGTCAGCGAAAGGTGGATTTGCAGTTATCATTTTGTGTCAATATGCTGAATTTAGCTGTAAAACCATACCCATATATTTTGTATTGTTATATATATATTAACAAGTCATCAATTGAATATTTATAATTGCATATTCTGCATTATTGGATGTTTTTTTTAATAAACACCAAAAAAAATGTAAAGTTTTAGGGCTGGATGAAATAATGATATATATAGGCTATATATAACACTGATATAAGTGATCACCCAGATTTAAACCTACCTATTGTATTTCTATAAAGCGTTCACAGGAAAATTTGCTTTATGTTTAGGTCTATATTGCTTTTATTTCCCCAGTGTCGAAATCAGGCAAACATAAATGTCAGGCAACACGATTCCTGGCTGTACATCAATATCCATGGATCACTGGATCTTTAGTAAGTTGAGTCCAACATTTAGTTTAAATTGATAAAATTGTTAGTTTTAGTCGCATTTTTGCAGTTTCCCCTATTAAATGCAGTCACGCAGCAGATCTTTTGTCAGGATGAGGGGTTTTGTTCCGGCGGGAAAGTGACGTCAATGCATTCACGCTATTACTAATTTGTAAAAAACAAACAAAAAAAAAACATGAAAATGAAAAAAAAAAAAGTGTTTTACAGTTTTTAGTTTTTGGAATGTTTACACTTTATTTTAGGTTACAAAGTTATAGACTTATTTTAAGTGCCTTGAGCCTTAAGTTTCCATCACTGAAATTACAATCTCACTAATAATGTGCAGTTAAAACTGTCATTGCTCAGTTAAAAGAGCAATGTCACTCCAATGAATGTGAAACATGAAAATATTGTATATTAAAGAGGCCAGTGCAGACTTCCATGCTAGTTACACAGAGCCAAGAGAGAAATATTCTGACATTTTGATGATTAGGCTTCAGAATTTGCCATCAGATTTAAATGTTTATTATTAATATTATTATTATTAGAGAAAACATTGTGAAAGTATATTGGAAGTGTGCTGTTGCCCAAGAGTTTTTAAATTTGTATGAACTTGTGATATACGTAAGCTTTAATTAATACCAGTCTGAAGACTTGGGATACAATGTTATTTATTGATGGTAGTACATTATGACAAAAAAAAAAAAAAAAACCATAATGCATATGACAAATTACCAAACAATACAAAAGGTATTATTGTAAGCATTTTAAATAAACCTATAAATATTCCCATCCATTTAAGGTATACATTTTAGCAATTCAAACGTTCTCAGATGATCAAAGCCATGATGTTTCTAGCACTTGCCAACATATAAAAGTACATCATTTTGCAGAATTATCTCTTTTTAGAAGATATTCATTGCTTGGGAGATTGAAAATGTTACACTCAAGTGATTCCACGGATGAATTGTTGACGTACAGTAATTCGACTTAAGGCCAGTCATGTGGGTTCTGCGTCTCAGACAAATTCTCTTGTTGAACTGGACCTCACAGCGGAGAACTTGGGGTTGTAGATGCGTTCTTGCTTTGGTGGGCAGCTCCAACAAAGTATTCCTCCTCCTAGTAAGAGCAACCCAGCAGATCCCCAGCCGATATACAGAGCTGCACCCAACTCTCTCCGCTGGGCCTCTATCATCAACGGATTATAGAAGTTCTGTATGATCGTGTTTGCTGACCATGAAACTGGGATCAGACAAAGAAGTCCTGAGACAATGAAGAAAATCCCTGCAATGATGCACGCCTTTGCTTTAGACCCTGGGTCCTCAATACAGTTGGTGCACTTCCCACCAGCCATAGAAATGATAATTCCAAAGAGTCCGGTCAAAATGGAGATGATGATCATAGCCCGGCCGGCTTGAAGGTCGGAACTGAGTGCCAGCATGGAGTCGTAGACTTTACACTGCATTTGTCCAGTGCTCTGCACCACACAGTTCATCCACATGCCCTCCCAGATGATCTGTGCTGTGACAATGTTGGCTCCAATAAACGCAGACACCCTCCACTGGGGCAAAGCACAAACGACAATGACCCCCAGCCAACCCAGCATGGCCATGACCATGCCCATAATCTGAAGTCCTTGGGAGACCATGTTTTTAAATCACAGGTGATAAAGTAGCCAAAAGTGTGCAAACCAGACATGTTTGCTCTTTATAGGAAAAGTGTGAAAAGGCGGAGTTTGCTTTTCCTGAGTTGATGATTTCTGGAGAGCCCCTATGCTTTCTCATTTGGCTGCTTTCACTATAAACACAAAACAAGAGCAACTGACAAAGCACAGCAACACTTTGAGGTTCTTCAAGGTCAGTCAAACAATAACTTTTCTAAATGACCTTGCTTAAAAGCTACTGTGAAAAGATATGGCCATGGGTGATTATGGTTTTTAAAATATTTCATGTTTTCTTTACCATTTTTATGATATAGGTAGATGATACAACAAACAAAATTGCAAGAATTTATACAAAAATGCACGCCAACCATAAATTCCCTTACCCTAACCCTAAACCTAACCAACAGAACAAAATGCATGTACATGATAATAACTGCACTCTGAAAATGCAGGGTTGTTAAACAGGACGGGCGGGTGGCGTGATTTCTGATGAGTCCCACCGGTCTCGTATCTCAAGCAACAAAGGAGGAGCGACAGCAGTGAAGGACGAGAGAGGACTAGACCTGGCTTTACATTGTGTTTTGTGGTAACACTTTCTTTTGATGGTCCCTTTTGAACATTCTGTGGACTATATGTAACTACATGCAACTACATGTCAACTAATTCTCATTAGAGTATCACACCGAAAAAAGCTTTTCAAGCAGTACCTCATTCAATAAATAGTTTACTATTATTTATTTTATTTTTCAAGTTATATTTTTTTTTGGTTCAAAACATTGCTAAATATAAATATTTTTCATTAAGATCTTAAATGAGAAAAATTTGTTTTAACGAAGTTTCAATTTCAAAGTTACACATTGAAAAAAAAAGTTAATTCATTCAATTTAAAAAATGTAGGGTAATGGTTCACATTTATATTTTATAACTTGAACCAATGAATAATAAATAACTTACCCTAACCAATATTTTCTATGTCTATGAAAATGATTTTATAAAACTTGGTACAAAGTAGATTTTTCATGTTGAAGAAAGTCAGTTAATTTAAATTCTAATTTTGATCTAAACAAAAATATATAGATTTAATCAAACCAAAACTTGCATGCATAGCAGCACATTAAATCTGTGAAGATCTCAGCAGAGGATGAGTAACAGCATTACCAGCTTCACTTATTAATGACCTTTTATTTTATTTTCGTTTTGTATGAAATCACTGGTAGTATTTTAAATTCGGATAAATAAATGGACTGTGATGCTGTTTTCTTCTGGAAACAAACTTTTTTGCATTATTATCCTGTTACTCTGTAAAACTGCTTTGAAAAATCTGTATTTTAAAAAGCACTATATAAATAAAAATGTGACTTGACTATATAGACTGGTATACAGTGTATTTGTGCATATGCATGTATAAGTTAATGCTATGACAAACTCCTTACAAACTCCAATGCACAACAAGCAAAAGACACAATACAGTGGTGTTTTATGATTTTCACATCTGTTTGCCATGTGTGTTGCTAAACATTTAATGTCTGTGTGTAAAAAATAGTTTTGGGTAACACTTTAGAATATGGTGCCTTAATGAATAATACGCTACAACCAATATGTAACACAATATTAACAATCTAGTAACTATTAAAGCTACACTGTGTAAGTCTTTTAGTTTATTCTTAGCTAAAAACACTTAGTTCTTTCAAAAATATATGAGCTCAGTAATATATATTTACTTCATTCAAGTAATAAAGTATTCTCGTGAGTGTATAATATGCCATTGAAAATACATACGGGTAAGGGGTTCTAATGCCGGTCGCAATGTTGCCCCTCCATCTTGGAAGTACATTAGCCAAAGAGGACATACCCGTTAATTCAAGCTTCACCTTTCGTGTTTACGTTTGAATTAACAATCATGAACGAGGTCGAAGTGGAGAGGAATTGAGAGGAACAGAAACTAATATTCATTGGATGGTCATATCCCAGACAGCAAACTGACATTGAATCAACGTGGAAACGACGTCTCTCATGACATTGAAACAACGTTGATTTTGCTCATCGAATTAACGTTGAACCAACGTCAGACGCGGCATTCTTCAAAGCTAAATGAAAATCGAAAATTGGTTTGCTTTCATAACGTTGAAACAACGCGTTGATTTCAAGTTGATTTTCCGTTAGTTTTGAAAGAATGACGCGTCTGACGTTGGTTCAACGTTAATTCGATGAGCAAAACAATGTCAGATCAACATTGTTTCGATGTCATATTTCCACGTTGATTTAATGTCAGTTTGCTATCTGGGATACCTTTTCACCGCTAGATGGTGGTAAAAATCGCACAGTGTAGCTTTAAAGGGTTAGTTCACCCAAAAATGAAAATTAAGTCTTTAATTACTCACCCCCATGGAGTTCCAACCCCGTAAGACCTTCGTTCATCTTCGGAACACAAATAAAGATATTTTTGATTGAATCTGAGAGCTGGATCAGTCCTATATAGAATGCCTAAGGGACTGGCTCTTGACGGACCATAAAGTCATTAAAGAAAAGGTTTAAATATTCCATGTGCCTACAGCGGCTCAATTATAAGTTTATCAAGTGACGAGACTACTTTTTGTGCGAAAAAAACATAAATAACGACTTTATTCCACTATTCCATTACTTCCTTATGGGCGCATGCGCGAGAACTGAGACGAGGACGTTCTTCTCCTTCGTCTACTTCTTGTTACCGGCTGCTCGCCGCTTAGGAGTTTTACCGCCACCTACCGTATAAGATGATGATCCATATATAAGGCGCTCCGGATTATAAGGAACACTGTCGTTTTTTGAGAAGATTAAAGGCTTTTAAGTGCACCTTATAGTGCGGAAAATACGCTAATTGAAAAGCGTATGTAAAGCGCGCATCTTCCTCTGCTTGTAAACAGAAAGTTTTGCGCTTCCAGATATCAGCACATCATCTTATACGGTAGGGGGCGGTAAAACTCCTAAGCGGTGAGCAGCCGGTAACAAGAAGTAGACGAAGGAGAACGTCCTCATCTCGGTTCTCGCGCATGCGCCCATAAGGAAGTAATGGAATAGTGGAATAAAGTCGTTATTTATGGTTTTTTCGCACAAAAAGTATTCTCGTCGCTTGATAAACTTATAATTGAGCCGCTGTAGGCACATGGAATATTTAAACCTTTTCTTTAATGACTTTATGGGCCGTCAAGAGCCAGTCCCTTAGGCATTTTATGTAGGACTGATCCAGCTCTCAGATTCAATCAAAAATATCTTTATTTGTGTTCCGAAGATGAACGAAGGTCTTACGGGGTTGGTACAGCATGGAGGTGAGTAATTAATGACTTAATTTTCATTTTTGGGTGAACTAACCCTTTAACTAACAAGAAACTCTGATTAACGAACTAGTAAGTAATAGCGCACAGATGAAAGTGGTACTTCACTATTAACTAATCAATAACTACTATTTTTTTAATACTTTTTAAAGTATTTATTAACGTTTTTTATATTATTTTTTAAAGTTTATTAACAATCTAGTAACTATTATTAACTAAAAAAAAACTCTGATTAACGAACTAGTGAGTAATAGTGCACAGATGAAAGTGTTACTACATACTTCTGTGGGAATTACTAATTATTTGGATCCGTATTATGAAGTGGTGACCTTGGGAACTAACTAGTAATGTCTCAAGTGTTACTAAAGAAATTTTCTAAAAGTATACTAAAGATCAGCAAAAATCTCAAACGCTTAAAATGACTTTAGTGTTTTGTTGCACAAATGATGACTAGATCATGTAGTACTGTAACACTTGAGTCATTACTAGTTATGATTTTCACTTTATAATACGGATCCAAATAATTAGTAATTTCCACAGAAGTATCTAGTAACACTTTCATCTGTGAGCTATTACTTACTAGTCAGAATCAGAGTTTCTTTTATTTAATAATAGTTTCTAGATTGTTAATAAGCTTTTTCAGTAGTTCTCTGTGAAGTATTTAAAAAAAATAGTACTTATTTATTAGCTAATAGTAAAGTACCACTTTCATCTGTGCGCTATAACTTAGTTCGTTAATCAGAATTTCTTGTTAGTTAATAATAGTTACTAGATTGTTAATAATGTGTTACTCATTGGTTCTTGTGTAGTTATTCAGTAACGAAGGAACTGTATTCTAAAGTGTTACATAGTTTTGAAAGTGTTGCTTTTGAAAGATATTTGTGACAGTTTCCATGGTTTGTGGTTTTGTGTGTAGAGTTTTGAGAAACGGAGCCATAGTTATAAAATTGTGTGTAAGCATTAAAAAAACAGTAATAATATCAGATAAATAAATAATAGACATGCAAAATACAAAAATCCCGTTTTAACTGTGTAATGAGGCACAAGACACTAATTTGAGTGTTTGTAACGAATTTATTTGTTGTAATGCATACATTTACATTTGATATAAATCCTTAACAGTTTAGGCTCATCCTCAGAGTGTGAAGCCAGTCAGCAAAGTTAAGAAGCAATATTTACAGTGTTCTTTGGCAGGAGAGTTCTGTTCAGACACATTTTGAGCGTTTCACCATTGCTGTCATATCTTGGAGAGCTGAGGGCTATAATTCAACCATTTGGTCAGTGATAGAGCATGGTCAATTGTTACACCACAGGTCAAAAGCTGACCAAGGTTCACAAATTGGGCACTTTCAATGTCATTATTTGCAGTGCTCTTTGGCTGCTCTTCACACATACCCTTTGGTTCCTCCAGGTCGAGCAGTGTACTTCGTGGTGTACTGATCCCGGGGAGGGCAATTTGCACAAAGCAGTGAGCCGCCAATAACCAGCAGTGCCGAAGCAGCCCACCCAATAAACAGCGAAGCTCCCAACTCTTTCTTTTGTGCACTGATGGTTAACGGGTTGTAGAAGTCCCTTACGATTGTGTTGGCGGTCCAGCAGACTGGAATCAAACACAGAATCCCAGCGACAATGAAGATGGCTCCTGAAACAATGCCAACTTTGGCTTTGGCTGTCTCATCTTCAATGCAGTTGGTGCATTTCCCTCCAGCAGCCGCTAGGAGGATCCCAACAACACCCACCAGGATGGAGATGATACACAGTGCCCGGGCCGCCTGCAGGTCTGAGCTGAGGGCCAGCATTGAGTCGTAGACTTTACACTGCATCTGGCCAGTGCTCTGCACCACACAGCTCATCCAGATTCCCTCCCAGGTGATCTGCGCTGTGACGATGTTCTGTCCGATGAAAGCCGTGACAAGCCACATGGGGAGAATGCAAACCACAATCACCCCGATCCAGCCGATGACAGCCAAGGCAATGCCCAGCATCTGCAACCCTGCTGATACCATGGTGGACGCTTCTTTGCTTGTGAGTTGAAGTCAAAGAGAGTGAAAGAAACAGTATGCTTCTCTCTGTAGAGCCAGTTTAGTGAACATGGGAATAAAGCAGGCTCTTTTATGTGACGGGGAACAAGGAGGGGCAGCAGGGAATCACTCACAGGCACACCGTCACCATGATTCGCCCCCTGGCCCTCGCTGTCATCGAGCAAGCAAATCCCGGGGCGGGTCTTAACTCATGCTCGCATTAGGGTGGACCTCTTTAGGGCATTTTATGAATCATTAATTATTCATAGTTTTTGTGAAAAACAACATGATTCATGGTTCAACTATAGGAGTAATCCATAAATGAAGATTAAAGAAGCAAGGCAGACACAAAAATATAATACACAGAAGGCGCGTGAACGGTTTTGAAAGATGAAGTAACATTATTAACTCTAGGCAAAACGTTTAAACCTTTAAATTGTACAACGAATTGTACAAAAGATCTTTAAGCCTCTGAAACACACACCCAAAACACTCTTAATTTTGATTCACTGTCTTTTGTCCTCACTAATTGTAGCTGTTTAGCTTAGAAGGATGATTTTCCATAAAGCCAAACATTTCTACTTAGACATAATTATGTGACCATTATATGCAGTTTTAGTAACGTTTTAGACAAATGATTTAATGAAGTTAGTCATCTCGAGCAAAGCGGATTTCATGACACCCTCTCACCAAGGCTTTGTTTAATCTCACAAAAAGACATTCAATGGAAAAGGCAGTTGCTTGAATTAGATCAGGGTTCCCCAAACTCGGTCTTGAAAGGCCACTCTCCCTGCAAAGTTTAGCTCCAACCCTGATCGAACACACCTGAGCAAGCTAATAAAGGTCTTCAGGATCAGTAGAAACTCACAGGTAGGTGTGTTTGATCAGGGTTGGAGCTAAACTCTGCAGGACAGTGGCCCTCCACGACCGAGTTTGGGGAACCCTGAATTAGATTAAAACAGTCACTATTTGAAACTCCACAATCTTCCATTCTTTAAATATGTAATATTTTTACTAAATAGTCCAATTTCTAAAGAAACGAGGGGAAAAAGCAGTAAAATGCTGACCTGGCTTCCAATGTCCAGAGAAAGGTGGAATCTTTCCTAACTTCTTTCCTTCCCACTGCTGCGCTATATAGTTATAAGAGCGAAAAAGCGTTCGCTGTCCAACGGTTCGCAGGGAACAGGCATTAGAAGCACATGGTAAAGGGATGAAAATCAATCTCAGGTGTTTTCTGTGTCGAAAATGGAGGGGGGGAAAGAGGGACAAAGTAAGAGATACTGTTTGTTTCGTGAATGAATGAAGGCTCTGTTTGGTGGCCAGGAGGACAAGAATGGCTTTATTTTCCACGGCAGCTAATTAAAATCCCCTTGGAAAGGAGAAAGAGGATACGGTTCCACACAGGGAAGGAATGTCTGCAATTAAGGAATTGAGGAGAGATGGTCTGCCAAATTTTACCTTCTCAGAAAATCAGGTATTTTCAATTCTATGAAATCCTATTTGAGGCTGTGGTATCAAACATTTCAATACAGTCATCAGAATTCGTTCAATTGGTATTGAAATATTATCATAATCACATGACTGTAATTTAGTAAATCGGTAACAATGAGTCACATGGTTACTGTTCATTTGTTGAAACATCCAAGGGCAGTAATTTAATTGGGTTTGTCCTGTATGGACACACAAGTTAGAGGTTTCTGCACTAGAACAGAATCATTAGCTAATCATTGCGAGGCTCTTGAAAACAACAACACTAAACGGCTGTGGAGAACTGGCTGTCTAGATGATATAGGCAAATGAATATTAAACATGTGGAGAACTGGCTGGTCTAGATGTTAGGCAAATGAATATTACTGTACACATGGGAAAATGATCAAGAGCAGCTCATACTATAAGTTTTGTAATGTGAGAAGAACATTTTCATAAAATATGAGCCTCTTTGGCAAGTATGTGTAAAAATATACAAATGTTCACAGAGCATAACAGGTACAACTTTTGAACTTACAAGTATTTGTATTAGTAAGTGTTGAGATTAACATATGTAATACATGATAGACATATTGTTCATTGTTAGTTTATGTTGACTAATGTAGTTAACAAATGAAACTTTTTTGTAAAGTGTTACTAAACATTAAGATATAGGAAACATAAATACATATCACTTCTGTAAGTATTAACAAATATTTCCACACTGGCAATGGGAAATGTTTTTACTTCTACTTTCAGCAGTGAGTCATTTGTCTCCACACTGTTTACAGTCACCTGGGTAAATACTAATCAATCTTTTAATAGTTTCTCCCTCCTCGGTGGCGGGGGAGTTGTCTGACGGCAGAGAGTTTCACCCCCGGGCTCGTGGGACGCGTAGACAGTTTCAATGGGTGATCAAGCCTGTGATAGCGATCTAGAAGAACGAAAAGACGGATGACTCAGCGGTGCTTTCCAATGATCAAACAAGAACACACCACTCTGGGAACACTCGATGCTTGACCCAGCCAGATCATTAAAGACTGCTGAGTTTCTAGTAACATGCTTGACCAGACACAGAACAGTGGACTACACATCTTGGTCAAGCTCATCAGAAAATAAACCTTAAAGTTAATTGTCTTCACTTTCAGAAGTTATACGTGATGTAATTAAGACCAGAAGACTGAAAATGTTGAAATACTGAGCAACAAACAATGGACAAATGTGATTGCAAAGGGACAAATCAGTCATTTCAAATCAAACAAAATCAAATACTTTATTCCAGGTACTATCTGGTAGTTTTGATGTGGCTTGTAATTATTCACGTTAGTAAATAAATAAGCAAGCAAATAAATACATACACACACACACACACACACACACACACACACACACACACACACATAAAAATAACTTATTTTCAAATTGTCTACCAAACCATTATATAGCAAATATCATTAAGTCAAGTCAAGTCACATTTATTTATTTATATAGTGCTTTTTACAGAAGATTTAAAGCAGCTTTACAGAGATAACAGGAAGATAATGTAACAAAGTTTGTTTCCAGAAGAAAATAAAGAGCTTTATTTCACACTCCAGCTTAAGTAAGCTCAATGATTCATTTTTGTTGTAATTTATTAATTTTAATTTATATATATATATATATATATATAGCTGCTCTTATATAGTCCTGTTCAGTTCTTGTATTGTCAATCCAGGCAGATTAATATTATTGTTGAATATTAAATTAAATGTTAAATTAATAAACATTAACACCATTATATATATATATATATATATATATATATATATATATATATATATATATATATATATATATATATATATATACATATATATATATATATATATATATATATATATATATATTATATCATATCTTATATACCTATATACCAGCATAGGCTATTTGTGGTTTCTATCAAAAATGATATTTTTTCTATAAGATATTTAACATTGAACTACTGAGTTTCAGGCAACCATTTCCGGCAAAAGACTTTGCATTAAAGATACATTATTTCACTGATAGTTATATCAGGAGTATATGTTAAAGCCTTAGCTTACAAAATGATTTCCAAATGTTGAGACACTCTGGTGTCAGGAAATGACAGTAAGTCCCGTAATCATAATTTAAGAGATTAAAAGCTGGAAATTTAAGGGATTAAAGGGGATTTAGCTGGAAAACGCAAAGAAATGCATACATGCATGCAGATATTTAGGCAGAGTCACATTTTTCAAAAAATTGAACAAATATCGACTCTAGAGTATGTGCGCCGTCTGAGAAACTAAATGGTGGAACAGGTTCACACTCCCACACAGAAATGCAGTGCTGACCTATTTTAAACATAACGTCTCGGGTTATGACTATAACCCTTGTTCCCTGAGAAGGGAACGAGACACTGCGTCGATAAAATCGACTCTTTGGGGACGCTCCCTAAGCGTGCGCCTCTGAAGTATGAATGAAACTAATCCAATCCTGATTGGTGTTGCGTCGTGACGTAACATGTGACGGCATACCCGGAAGTATAAAAGTGACGCTGTCACAACACACACTAGCCTCGCGATGAAGCAAGACGCTCAAGGGTCTGAAAAGGGGGCGTGGCAACACGACGCAGTGTCTCGTTCCCTTCTCAGGGAACAAGGGTTATAGTCATAACCCGAGACGTTCCCTATCGAGGGAACTCAACACTGCGTCGATAAAATCGACTCTTTGGGGAACGAGTACCCACTAGGCCACGCACCGAACAGACCCGCCCCAGAGTGAAACTGATTAGGCACTCAGCAAGGGCCGAGTACGTGTGCACCGGGCGTACTGGGAAGGCTGAGACTGTAAAACCTGATGAAAGTATGCGGGGTAGCCCAGCCGGCTGCCTCACAAATCTCCTGCAGAGGTACTCCCGACAGAAGGGCCCTAGAGGAAGCCATGCCTCTAGTCGAGTGAGCCCTTAAGGCCAAAGGTGAAGGAACCCCACGCACCTTGTAAGCCTCAGTAATAGCCTGGACAATCCAGTTACTTATAGTTTGTTTGGTCGCCGGGAGCCCCCTCTTAGGTGACCCAAAGCATACTAACAACTGGTCAGATCTTCTCCAAGAAGCAGACTTTTCCAAGTATACACTCAAAGCTCTGACGGGGCAGAGCAAGTGAAGCCTCTCTTCTCCCGCCGACACATGAGGTGGAGGATGGAATGCCTGAAGGACTACAGAGCGAGCCGTACTCGAAGGAACTTTAGGCACGTAGCCCGGACTCGGGTGCAAAAAGGCCTTTACTTTGCCAGGGGCAAACTCCAAGCAAGCTGGCGTTACCGCCAGGGCCTGGAGATCTCCCACCCTCTTAAGAGAGGTAATCGCTAAGAGAAAGACCATTTTCAACGTTAAGTCCTTAGGTGAAGCCGACTCTAAAGGTTCGAAGGGAGCGAGGGACAACCCTTCCAGAACTATTGCCAGATCCCAGGCAGGCACCCTGGACCTGATCGCCGGCCTCATCCTCCAAGCACCACGGAGAAACCTAATGACCAACTGGTGCCTCCCCAGAGGTCCACCATCTACTGGCGCGTGGAAAGCCGAAACGGCAGCCACGTACACCTTAAGAGTGGACGGGGAGAGACCCGCAGAGAAACGATCCTGAAGGAATTCCAGAACTGAAGCCACTGGGCAGTTTACTGGATCCAACCTTCGTTCTCCACACCAAGTGTGAAACACCTTCCACTTGAGGCCATATAATCTCCTGGTAGATGGGGCCCTAGAGCTAAGTATGGTTTCAACCACCTCAGCTGATAAGCCAGCATTTAGGTACTGAACCCCCTCAGAGGCCAGACCCACAGCTTCCACAACTCTGGGCGAGGGTGGAAGATTGTGCCCTCCGCCTGAGACAATAGATCCCTCCTCAGAGGAATCGGCCATGGCGGAGCTATGAGGAGTGATATTATATCCGAGAACCATACTCGTGTCGGCCATCTCGGGGCAACCAGAAGTAGACTGATGCCCTCTTGACGGACCCTCTCCAGGACCCCTGGGAGCAGAGCGATCGGGGGGAAAGCATACAGGCGAAGCCTCGGCCAAGCCTGTACCATGGCATCCAACCCCAGTGGGGCTGGATGTGAGAGGGAGAACCAAAGTGGACAGTGGGACGTCTCTCGAGACGCAAACAGATCCACTTCCATCGGTCCGAACCTCTCCCATATCGACTTCACCACATCCGGATGAAGTCTCCATTCCCCGGGCCTCAGCCCCTGCCTCGACAGGATGTCTGCTCCCCGATTCTGAACCCCTGGGATATACATTGCCCTTATTGACAATATCTTTCCCTGGGACCAAAGGATAATCTGATGCGCCAGTTTGCACAGAGGGCGCGATCTGAGTCCCCCCTGTCGGTTCAGATAGGCCACCACTGACGTATTGTCTGTCCGTATAAGGACGTGGCGACCCTCGATGTCTGGGAGGAAGCTCCTCAAAGCCTTGAATACCGCCATCATCTCCAGGCAATTTATATGCCAAGTGCGATGATGGTCCTGCCACAGACCCCTGGTAAAGCGGCCGTCCATGACCGCGCCCCAGCCCGTAAGGGAGGCGTCTGTCGAAACGGTTTCCCGGCGACATGACACCCCCAACACTGGCCCTTGGGATAGGAACCAAGGCTTCTTCCATATTTGCAGAGACTGAAGGCACTTGCGCGTTACTCTGATCATACGGAACGGATTTCCTTTGGGTGAGAACCCCTTGGTCTTCAACCACCACTGGAGGGGCCTCATGTG